TTGGTGGTTGGGGGAAGGGATGCGCTCGCATTCGCGCGGAGATGGGTCGGGTTTGGGGTTCGGGCGGGCCGGGGGTTGGCGAGCGGAGCCCAGGGTTTGGGGAGGACCCGGGAAGGGGGCCGGGGGCTCGGATCTGGGGTTCAGGCCCGATGTCGGGGTGGAGGGTCGGGTTAGGTCGGGGAGGGCGCGGGCTGACAGGCCGCGTGTCCTGCGGAGGAGGGGCGCTGTTGCACCCGGGAAGGACTCCGCAGAAGACTCGGGTCTCGGGGCCTGTGGGGAGGGGACTCGAGCACTCATTTCGTGGTGGGGGAGTCTGCGATCTGGTCCGGGGTTTCGGGGGGAGGAGCTTGTGTGGGGTTAGGGGTGGCAGTTAGGGGAGAGGTTGGGACGAGATTTCGGGTTTAGTTCGCGTCTGGTGTTTGCCTGTTGACGCGGGTCCTGTGGGTGGACTGGGGGGGTATTTGTTTGTGGTATGTAGAGAGCATCTCCGTCCTGTGGGTTGGTGGACGTGGGTGTGTTCTGGGAGGACCTTGAAAGTGGTGAGGTTTGGGGGGCTGGAGTGGGTGGTTGGGGTGGCAGGGTGTGAATGGCTGGGTCCCAGGAGAGGGAGCGGGTGGCAGAGCCTGGCTCCGGGCGGGGTGTGGCCTGGGTCCACTTGGCCGTTGAAGTCTGCAGTGGCTTGGGTGAGATGAGGGGCTCTCACCTGAAGGGTACAGGACGGGCACTAGTTGAGAAGGGCGAGTCATGGTGGGAGGGCTTAGGGGGAGTGAGGACTCTGATATGGGCTTGCTGGGTCCTATTGGGTGACAGTGGGGAGGGGAGGGGACTTGGTTCTCTGTGACTCCAAAGCTTGGGTGAGGTGGTGGGTGAAGTGGAGGGTGGGACTTGAAGAGGGGCTGGGTCTGGGCTTTAGAGAGGACGGGTGGCCCGGTATGGGAGGTTGCCTTGGCAGCAGGAAGGGGGGCAGGATGGCCCGGCTCCCTGCTGTGGACCACGGTGCCGAGATGACACAGCCTGAGGCCCTGATGGGGCCCTGCTTTACTCCAGAAGGGGCAGAGCCGCTGAGGTGAGGGGCAGTGAGCTGGGACCACCGTCCTCAGTGGCTTTGGGGTGGAGTCGGGGGCCCAGCCACTTACTGCCATTGGCACTGTCTCCTGCAGTTCTAGGGTCGCCCTCCATTGCTGTAGTAACCTGGGTCCGGGGCCTCGGTGGTGCTCCTGATGCCCCTCACCCACCCCTGAAGATCCCAGGTGGGCGAGGGAACAGTCAGCGGGATCACAGTCTTTCAGCCAGCGTCCTCTACTCCGTAAGTGCTGTGGGCTGTGCTGTGGGTCCCGGTGCCTGCCGCTGCGCGTTCGGTCACCTGGCCATCCTGACAGCCCTGCTTCCCCAGGACGAGCGGCTGAATGTGACAGAGGAGCCAACGTCTAACGACAAGACCAGGGTCCTGAGCATCCAGTCCACGCTCACGGAGGCCAAGCAGGTCACCTGGAGGGCGGTGTGGAACGGTGGTGGCCTCTACATCGAGCTCCCGGCTGGGCCTCTGCCTGAGGGCAGCAAGGACAGGTGGGTCACCTTCCTGAGGGGCTCCAGGGGAGCTGGGGTCTGGTGCTAACAGCCACACGCTCTCCTCAGTTTCGCAGCTCTCCTGGAGTTCGCGGAGGAGCAGCTCCGGGCCGACCACGTTTTCATCTGCTTCCCCAAAAACCGTGAGGACAGAGGTGGGTGTTGCTGCGGGCTCCCCGGGAGGGAAGCTCTGGCGCCCCAGGCTCTGACCCCATGTCCCCCCCCACAGCCGCCCTGCTCCGAACCTTCAGCTTCCTTGGCTTTGAGATTGTGAGACCCGGGCATCCCCTCGTCCCCAAGAGACCCGATGCTTGCTTCATGGTCTACACGCTGGAGAGAGAGGACCCGGGCGAGGAGGACTAGGTGCCAGCCCTGCCCAGTGTCCCTGTGCCCTCTCCCGGGTTTGTCCACATGTCGTGATTGTGCAGAATAAACGCTCACTCCATTAGCGGGGTGCTTCTTTGAGCTGAATGCTGTGTTTGTCATACTCAAGTGTTGGCTTTAATTCTAAATAAAGGTTTCTATTTTACTTTTTTTATTGCTGTTTAAGGTGGTCAGGTGACCTGTGCTAGAGCAGCCTCCTCTGAAGCCTGGCAGAGATAGATAGTGTCACCTCCCTGGCTCAGACCCAATAAAGTGATCTTGCTCACCCGTCTTGTGTCTGTGTCCTGCCTCGGGGCTGGGTTGGGCTCCTGTCGGCTGTGGCTCAGAGCCAGGGAGGGTTCTGGGGTTCTGCAGCCCTGGCCTCCAGGCGCTGCTGAACCACTGCATACATGGGTGGTCGGGCTGGGGTGTCCTGGACAGTTGTGAAGCTGTGGGATCTGGCAGCCCCCCAGGTGACGGGCTAAAGGTGGCTGTGGTGTAGTTTCACGGGGTCAAAGTGCCACCTGCTGGCCACGGTGGGGTGTGGGAGACAGGTTGGGGAGAGACATGGGTACTCTGGCCACTGGAGTGGTCTCAGGTTGGCGCTGGGTTGTAGCTAGGACATAGGAGTTCAGTATTAGTGTTTGTGGTGGGCTCAAGGACCCAGCAAGGTTGGATGTGGGGGGTATGGGAGCAGGAAAGGACCCCTGACCTCTGCGGTGTCTGGGAGACTAGTGGGCGGGACTGCGTGTGTGTGTGTGTGTGTGTGTGTGTGTGTGTGTGTGTGTGTGTCCCCAAGGGGCCTGAGTTGAGAACAGTGGCATTTTAGGCAACTGCATGCTTACTCGGCTTAGGCCTGCTCTCATGGAGCTCAGCCTTGGGGCCAGGGCAATGGGTAGACCAGGAGAACTTGGCCTCGGGTGGGGTCTGTCTGTGTTGAGGGTTTGTGTGTGTCTGGCAGGGAGAAAGGTTAGGCCTGGCCAGTGGCCAGGCAATCCCAAGTTCCAGGCATCAGCCATTTGGAGTGTCTTCCTCTCCTGGGCACATGGGGGTGCTGTGGGGTTACATATCCCCTCCAGTCACGGGAGACCTGATCCCTCTGGCCAGCAGCATAGCTCCTTTGTTCTGTTTTTCAGGTAGGGTATTCCAGCCCAGGCCAGTCTTGTAGCCAAGGATGTCCTGGAATTCATGCTTTCTCCTCGCGAGGGCTGGGGGACTGGCTTGGGCCACTACCCCAGATGTCTTGTTTTTTGACCTAGTAGCAGTGTATGGTTTGCCTGGGGATCCCGGTAGACTCAGCTAGTGGCAGGGGCCCACCCTCAGGGCTCTTGGGGGTCACATGGTCCCACTGAACCACCAAGAGCAGTTTGAGCTTTCAGGGTCTCAGGAACTCGGGGGAGCCACCAGTCAGATTCTGATGTTGGGGTGAGCTGTGTTACCTGATGAGGACCTGATAGCCCAGGCCTTTTGGGACAGGTTAGGGCTCGAGGCTCCCCGTTTGCCCCTGGCCAGCTCTCCCTGACCATGGCCTCCCTAGGAAACCATAACAAGGCCATACCTGTCATCCTAGTCCCCAGAGGGCTGGGACAGGAAGATTTGTGTACAAGCTGGCCTGGTCTACACAGCCAGAGTAGAGAAGAGGCTAAGGATGGTCTCTATAGCAGAAGCCCCCTTTCTACCCGGGAACACTGGGAGGGGAGACAATCCCTCCCCCACCACGTGGTCACGGTGCCACGCTCCCAAAAAGGTGTTCTCACAGATGTGCCCGGTACCTTTGCTGAGGTAAACGGTTCATGTGTGCAGGTTAACAGCACGTGGAGACAGATGTTAGCCAGACAGCGGGTCTCCCTCCAGACAGCATCTCTCTGTAACTGGCTGGCCACAAAGATCCTCTAGCCTCTGCCTCTCAAGTACAGGGGTTAAAGGTGAATGCCACCGTGCCTGGCGACTTTTCATGTTTTGAGTTTTGTATGCAAGTATATGTGTGCCATGTATGTGGGGTTGCCTGAGGGGGACCACGGGCGTTGGATCCCCTGGAGCTGGAGTCATTGTAAGCCCCCCAACATAGGTCCTGGGCCCAACTCAGATTCTCAAAGCCATGCTCTTAACCGCCGAGCTGTCTCTCCAGCCGGTGTCCGTCTCCTGCTGAGGATGGACTCGGTTTCACATGCTAGGCAACCACTTGCCACTGACCACACCCTCAGCCCGGGTGATTCTGGCAGGGCATCCACCCTCCAGCCAGGCCCTATCTCATAACATACAAGTTGGCCTCGAGGTAATCTTGTCTCCTAAGGAGCTGGAATAACAGCTTGGGAACATGGGTTTTTTTTTTTCTTCTACTTTTTTTTTTCCATTTTTCTTTATTTTTTTTAAAATTTATTTATTTGTTATGTATACAATGTTCTGTCTGCACATATCCCCACAGGCACCAGATCTCATTACAGATGGTTGTGGTTGCTGGGAATTGAACTCAGGACCTTTGGAAGAGCAAGCAGTGCTCTTAACCTCTGAGCCATCTCTCCAGCTCTTTATTTTTCTTTATAAGAAATGTTCTACTCACTCCTTGTACTATCCACAGATTTCCCCCCCCCCCCATGTTTCTTCCTGTTTGGACCATAAATGCCCTATATGGGGTCTCTGAGTTGTGGCTTCTTCCTGGGTCCAGGTAGCCCCCCCACAGTGGGTGGCTGGAGTTACTCTTGCTGTTATTTGGATTTGGGGGCACATGTAGGCAAAGCATGTGCACAGCTAGGGTGCCTTTTGAGGAGACTGATGAAGTTCTTTGCTCCAAGGACCCCCTGAGATGGAGGTGACCCCTGGACTCTAGTTCTATGACCCCACCTTAATGGTGCTCTGTGCTCATTGTGGCTGCTTGCCTTCCCTGGACTCATTTCTCTCCTAGGAAATAGTGTCAATCATCTTTCAGGACACTAGGAAGCACCCACTCCAGGTCTGGGACAGGGATAATGTGCAGCCCAGAGGACATCGGGATGAAACAGGTAGAGATGAGCCACTGTACACACGGCCTAGTCTCAAAGACCTCAGCCCCAGAGCCAGGTCCCCCTGACAAGGGGAAGTGTCAGACCCAGGTGGGAAGGAATACATGGACAACAGTTAGGCCAGGCCCAGGATGGGGCAGGGGCCTTCCCAGGACCACCCCTCACCTCTGGCACCCTCAAGGATGGGATGTAGAGACAGAAGCCAGGAGTTGAGACCCTGAAGTGAGTAAGCCCTGGGGCATGGGCAAGGGAGGTGCAAAGATTGTCACCCAGCTCGAAGGAGGAGGAGGTAGAAGAATCCCAAGTTCAAGGTCACCCTCAGCTATATGGCTACATGAGTTTCTGTTAAAAAATAAAGAATAAAGCCCAGTGATGGTGGCGCACACCTTTAATCCAGCACTTGGGAGGCAGAGGCAGGAGGATCTCAGAGTTCGAGGCCAGCCTGGGCTACAGAGCTAGTTCTAGGACAGCCAGGGCTACACAGAGAAACCCTGTTTCCAAAAACAAAAACCCCCAAAAGAATAAATTATAAACACAGCCTAGTGTCTCAGAGCCCAGAGCTGTGGAGACTTCTCTTTGGGGACTGCAGCGCACCCTGGCCTCCCCTTTTCTGGGGGGCTCGTATTCTCCTTGGGGGGCCACCTAGGAAGTCCTTGGCGCCTCTGCCCAACTACAGAGCTCGTGGGCTTGTCTGCCAGAGAACTCCCAGCCCTGCTCTGCCCTGCTGTGTGGCCACAGGAAAATCGCTGTCCTCCTCTGTCCCCGGTAAGGGAATCTCCCATATCCTGTCTCCGGCATTCTATCACGGCCACATACACTTTTCCAGTTTATATTCATTTTATTTTGAAACTGTTTCCCTTTGTAGTCCACTGCCCTTGAGCTCCTGAAGCTTCTGCTGAGATGACAGACATGTCCCACAGCTGTCCTTGGAAGCTTCTGTCCTGCCCACCGGTTCCCGAATATCCAGCAGCCGCTTCCCAAATCATTGACTCAGAGGCTTAGTATTACTTGTAAATGTTCGGCCGGAAGCTCAGGCTTATTAATAACTCTTACACTTGAATTAACCCACGTTTCTATGTATGTTTAGCCACGTGATTTGGTACCTTTTCTCAGTAAGACATTCTCGTCCTGCTTCCTCTGTGTCTGGCCGGCGACTGTCTCTGCCATTCCTCTTCCCAGAACTCTCCTAGTGTGGTTGCCTGGCCTACACTTCCTGCCTGGCTACTGGCCAGTCAGCATTTTATTAAACCAAGAGAAGTGACTAATCTTTACGGTGTACAAGAGCAGCATCCCACAGCTCATAGCTGTTCCTGACACCATTTGTCTGAGGTGAGGTAGGTGGAGCCCCAGCCTCAGCCCTGAGGTCTATGACAGTTCAGCTTCCAGTTTGTTTTTTTTTTTTTTTTT